TGGACCGGGTGTGATCTCTCTCTCCTCTCACACACACACACACACACACACACACACACACACACACACACAAAAAACTTTCTGTAATAGAATATCAATCTTATAAACATCTGTAGCCCTTAGTCAGGTTGGACGCCATATTGAATTGAACATGGATGAAAGCAAGGCTGTAAGGTATAGACTTGCAGTCTTAACAATGGCACACATTGTATAACGATCCTAAATCGTGTAATTTTCACAACTCACATTTTTGAGGGTGGCCGCGGGTCCTTAAAAAGTCTTAAAGTTTTCCTAAAATAAGGCCTTAAAAAGTCTTAAATTCTTAAATTTCTGGTCACATTACCACAAAAATGTATCCAGTCTAATGGACCCAGTGAGTGTCCATCAAGAGTACTTTTTCTCCCGCTGTAGTTACCACGTCATCAGAGAGAATTGCGGTTACAGAATACAGTCAAACACCAGCTCGCTGACTAGCCTCCGAACTACTTTTAATGGGTTAATGCAAGTTTACTGAAAAATGGCTTGAGAATTGTACTTGCTCGACAGGACTAATAGCCTGATTAAAACTTAAGTGACAAAATATAATCACGCATCAAAACACGCGAATGAGTCTTCTGATTTTATTACATTCAGCTTAAACAGCGATTGATAATTGATAGTGTATTTCTATTATCAATGTCGTGCTGTTGAGGCTCGGGCTGCCTGTCTCTGTAAGAGACTTTCATGGAGAAATCAAATCAAATGAGCGTACGGCACACAAAGAAACTTACAGAACAAACATACTGAGGTAAAAATTCAAAATGTTTAGTTTATTTATAGCATGATATAGTCAAGTAACATACCATGACAAGGGATCTATTTTGCTGAATATTTTCACGATTGCAAATGTAACATTGACTTTAGTTCAACAAACAAGTAGTAAAGTATATGAAGTTACTTACATTTTTAGACACAATTGACTGTTTTGTTCTATTTCACCAACGAAAATAGTTCCAAACAAAGATCAGAACAGAATTATTGTGCACATTCTCCAAGCCACACCCGGCGTTTTTGTTACTGAATGATTCAGAGGTTTGAAGGAATCGGTTGAATGAATAATTGACTTACCGCCACCTACTGGCGGTTTAGTCTCATGCTTAAAAGTATGCATTTTCCCCCAACATTTCTTATTTGTATGATCAAAATTTTATTTACAACATTAATCCCATAACATTATTTATTGCTGTTGTAATTTTGTAATTATTTAATTTGATTGGTAACAGCCCTGTATTGTATTACATTTCTTGATCAATTGTAAGAATTTGACTCGAAAGATGACGCATACATTTAATAAGGTAAAAAAACATATTGGCCTTTATAAAGGTAAATGACATCCTGTGGTAAATATTAAAAACATGCAGATTTAAGTATGTAAAAGCTGATAGAAAACTGATGAAAGTATTGCTTCAGAATAAATTGTTTACACCACCAAAAATTTCGGTGATGCGACACTTTTGTTTTGTGGGAATATTTTGTATGGGATATTGTCTGCTGATATGAAAAGTTCACTGTATATCGTAATAACAAATCGAATTTTTGACAGCGATGATATTTTGTTTTCTTTTTACATTTAAACGCGTTAATATATTATATATACGTATGTAATATAATGGTGTATTTCCATCACAGGCTTGGT